AAAGCCTGTTGCTGCCGGATGGCCAAGTGTTGTCGGACGATGACGTGTTGGAGGGGCCGGTGGATATGCAGCTTATACTGCCGCTGGTTGAGCTTTAGAAGATCGATTTTCCTAGTGATGTCAGAGCGGCGGTTTTTGTGGATTTGTTCAGCTTGATCCCTTGCAAAGCCTATTTGCCAACACTTTCTGAACAGCCAATGCAGGCAACCAGTGGTTGCAAGCTCAGAGGACCAAATCCAGGACCACCAGCTTCTTTATGAAGTGCTTTTGGGGAAGTGCACGGTAAGACCAGAAGACATAAGCCCCAAGCCCTAACTCTTACACCATGGCACGGGTGCCTTCCATTCTGGACCGGAGAAGTTGAAATAAGACTGCCTCAAGAGAACAGGAAGGGCAGAGCCCTCGGCCTGTATGTCAAAAGGTCTGGCCTTGAAAACCTATTAAAAGCACTTTTCAACCCACTTATGATCATAAAGCATCTGCTTAAAGCAAAGTAAAGTCAACTAGAAATCGAGGTAGAAAACAACTTAAAGCAAATTAGAATGGCCTCACCATTAACCCAGCCTAAATAACTGTACATTATCAAGCCACCCCAAATCTTTTACAATATTCAGGATCAGAGTTCTGCTGGACTACACCCTTTGGAATTTGACTGCCTAGCTTGCTCCAATAAGCGGTTCAATAAGAATTCCAGGCAATAGAGCCTGTCATTTTCATGTGACAGCCTGGCGTTAAAACCAAAAACATAAATTTTGCCCTTATCAAAACCTTCCCCAGAATTTTTCAGGCTGGACAAAGTTTACTTTATAAGAACCCCCCAAATCGAATAGGGGTCCAGAATACATGTCTCACAACTTGACATTATTGAGGGCCCCTGCTCTAATCGGGATTCAACATTACCTAAAGCCTCCACTCTAAACCCTAAACTGAGTCCATGTTAGGCATCCTTTGCTGTATGCTTTCTTCCTCATTTCTATGGACTCATGCAAAAAGGGTCTATTTTCCGTTTAGTTTACAGAGGGCTGAGTAGACATTGTTCCAAGGAAACCCGGATCCCTTAGCCCTAACTCCTGAACTCCGATAGGAGGATTGTGGCAGCTTAATCCCCACCCCTGTAATGAGGACATATGGTAGTTTCCTGAAATAGGGGGACCCCAATTGGGGACCCCCAAAATGGGTGCCCCTAATTTTGGGAAACTCCCATATAAGGACCCAAAAAGTATCATATGACAGTCGCAGGGTCCTGGTGTTGGGGGTTGGGTTTAACCGAAGCTCGGGACCCTAAATCCTATCCTCCCTAAACCTGGAACCCTATCCTTCCTAAGCCTAAACCCCAAACCCTATAGTCCCCCTTAAGTAGATGGAACATGGGGTATATGGGGATCTTATTATAAGATACCCAAAGCCATATTCTATCTACTTAAGGGGGATTATATCCTGTATGACCCGATTATATCAGATCTGTGTTAGCCTTGGCCCCAGGAGTTGCAAGAGGCGGCGTGTGAGCATCTGGCTCATTGTCAGAATTCTTTTGAGCTTTACGGTTTAGGACGTAGCGTTTAGTCTTTGGGTTTGGGGTAGAGAATTATTCAAAGTGTAGGGCTTCAAGATGGCACCGAGCCTTACAAACACGTACTTTCTGGATAGAAGATAAGATCCTTGCTTTCTGTTCAACAGCCACAGTAGTGATGCAGGAATGATATCGGAACAGTGGAGCGGCTGTTGCGAAGGCCACAGGAAGGAGGTGCTCCAAATCACCCCTCCCATGCAATGCCCGAGAGGGACCCCACCTAGCATCCCCAAACCTTGAACCCTAAACCCTAAACCTTAAACCCTAAAAACATAGACTCTAAAGCCCTAAAAGCGTAAACCCTAAAGCCCCAACCTCCCCTCATATCCGTAGAAAGCCTCAGATGTTTCTGCTTCGGGGAATCCCTGAGCTGGGGGTTTAGGGTTTAGAGTATATAGTCCCCCTTAAGTAGATAGAATATGGGGCATATGGGGATCTTACTATAATATATCCGAAACCATATTGTATCCAGTTAAGGGGGACTATAAAGTGTTGGGAGGTAAAGGATGTATGTATGTGCGCTATCTTATAACTCCTGTGAAGCCCTTAGTCTGTAATCTCCTTGGAATTATTTTCTCATGCTTATTATAGTAGTATACCTTTAAGGAATTGTTTGATCTTATTTCCGAAATAGGTCTAGGGGGATTACAGTACTATCCGGGACCTGGAACCCTCAACCAACAACTTGGGCTTTAGGGCCCACTTTGTGGCTTTGCCGCTGTGCTTTCGGCAGGAGCCAGATTTGACACTTGGAGGGAGGCCAACTCCTCTGCTGTCTGCATGTGACTGGTGTCTTGTTAGAACACCAAGACCCCCAAAAGGATCCAAAAACTAGATCCCCTGGAACCATAGGGGGAATTATATAAGGATTATATAGGGGTTACAATGGGTCTATATAGGGGATCCAATTTTTAGATCCTCCCAGGGGTCTGGGCAGGCTTTGATGTTGTCTGCTTCGACAGATAGGAAGAAACAGGGCCCTTCAGATTGAAAGAGCATCACAAAATATATTCCTGGAACATCTATTGCCGTCTTAAAAAATTGCCTGAGGGGGCTGTAGTGGACAGCCCACCCCATGCAATTGGCCACGTTGCTGATGGAAAAACGAGAACAGCCATCAACGCGACGCCATGCAACAGCTAAGCTCAGCTTAGCAACATGTCCATTCGAGCTTTTGAGTTAATCTTTACTGGAGCCGCTCGCCAGTCCAAATCCGATCAAAGCATCTGCACTTACATCAGCTGCACAAACAGGAATGGAAGCCCACACTGACGCGCGAAGCCCTAGGTCCTAAACACATACAGTCTCCACACCCCCGAAGCCCTAAGAACCTAAAACACCCGAGCAGTTCTTTACAAGCCCAAAAACCTGTTGGATGTTCTATGAACCACATTTTCTGGATCAACGTTAGGAATCCTTTACAGGGGGGGATATAGGGGTAATATAGGGATTATATAGTGGTATTATAGGGATATTATAAGGATATATGGGGTCTAGGGATACTTTTTGGGGTATGGAATTCCTTATATTTATGCTAAGGGAACTTTTCTCTCCTAGGGTAGTGTGGGCTAAGTTTTAGGAGTTGCCGAAAATGCTGGGTTGCCCTTTGGGAGTCCTGTACAACAAGGCATATGGGTGGTTGTCAAAATTATGGTCCCTTTTTGGGTACCCTAAATATTAGGTGCCGTATTATAATGGGGATCCAAAAAGGGACCATGTTTTTGACAACCACCCATATAGTATGTTGGGGTTTATATTCGTGCCCCTTACCTGTGGAAGCCCCATACTGTAGTTTCCCAGAAAAAGGGGGACCCCAACATACATCCCAATGCATTATAACCCCTATCATGCAACCCCCGAGATGGTGCCCCTAATTTTGGGAAGCCCTACGTGTCCCTCCTTACTTTGAGGTGAGAAAGGCTGTCTTGAAGCGGCCAGTCTGCTGTTGGAGGCCAAGGCAGACAAGGACTTCCCGAAGTGGGGAGGTTCTTTTTACACCTCCCAAACTGTAAGGGGCCTAAATAATATAGGGGTTACATAGGGGTTATAAAGGGGTTATATGGGGGTTATAATGGGATTATATAAGGGTTACATAGGGTATAGATGTTATTTTTACACAGTTTCTGAGTGGTGCTTAACGGGGAGCGCCGGAGGTGGATCCTTAGATTTGTTCCCCCACTTACCATGAAGCACCAGCACGGTTATTGAGTTTATCATGGGCAGGTGTTCTCCAATGGGGTTCTTATGAGTGCTGCGGCACAATTTGTGGTCTGGGTTTTTGGGTTCAAGGCAATGAGTGCCAGGCCTCAGGATTTGGGTGGTCCGGTTAGAAAAAGGCGTCGTCTCTTTGAAAGGAGTCTGGGCTCCATGCTAGTTGGGGAGGGAAATGAGGACCCTACTTGCTACCTGCTGTGACCGCAAGCAGGGATCCCTCTCCAGTATCATGGGCGATGGAAGCAGTAGCTTCATCATAGCCGAGGACAAGCCTCTTGTTTTTTTTTTTTTTTTTT